CTTCCTTCCTTCCCTACAGCCTTGTCCACATTAATGTCTAGTCATGATCTTTTCTGTATTTTGATAAAAACTGCTGTTACATGAAAGAAGAAACTGTAATACTCATATTCAAAGCCTAACAAGGCTGACTGCAATCACACATTTGACGAAGTTTTTTAATGACAGAGCCTTGCAATGCTGGTTACTGTTATCGTACAGTGGCAATTTCAGAAGTGGTATTCTTACCCTTTGCATGCGTCTCTTTATCAAATCCACACCTACCAAACACCACTGGTATGCATTGTCAAAAATCCACTAAAACACCTGTAAATCTTTAGAGCTGAATAAAATATCCATTAAGTTGAAATTATTTCCCACTGAGTGTCATGAGATTAAGCTGCAATACAGACATTTCTAAAATTTAGTTTGTAGAGGAACTATTTACTTAAGAACATCAAGATCACCCAGCAAGCATCACATAGCAAAGTTAATACACTGTGCAGTATCTCTTTATGTAACATGATACATACTAAATATAAAATAACACATCAGAAAGAATGTGACATCCTGACTAGGTGCCTAGTTGAATCGAAATTTTATTGCCAATTGATTTAGGTGCCTCGGGTTTACAGATTGTCCCACATCAAGGATTACGTAGAAGTGGTTTATCAAGCAGGTGTGATCCCAGTTTCCCTCATACATGAAAAAGTTTTCTTGCAGATTATGTATGTTTCTGAAGAAAGAGGTTTCTCTGAGGGATTGCCAGAAAACTAATCCAGTGTAGAGGAATAAGAACGGCTGGGAAAGCAATCAGGTCCAGGAAAGCCCAGCAGTGGATTTTCCTTGGCTAACATCTACAATATCCTGACAATGACCTGTGTGCTCCAGCTGCTCCACTCTCAATGATGAGCAGGTTCTGTTGAGGATGGCTGGAATCAAGAACATGACAAGCTCCATAAAAAATAATTCAGACATCAGGCAGTCTGGAAGCTGCGCTTTGGGAATCCTTGCATGCTTTATCTAGATTACTTTGCTGCCAACATCACTTTGTTACAATCACCTACCAATATGAATTAGGCACTCAGTCATAGTTATCTTTACTTCTTTTTCCAGCGTCGAGAAGTTGCAAAGACAGTTTTCTGTTTAGTAGTGATTTTTGCTCTTTGCTGGTTCCCTCTCCATTTGAGCCGAATTTTGAAGAAAATGGTATACAATGAAAGAGACCCCAGCAGATGTGAACTGCTCAGGTACTTCATTTTCTACGTCAAATCACTTTTTATATTGAAAAAATACAATGCCACACACTTGGAGTTTATGTGGGAAATGTCATTGTGCATGCAACTGTAGCGTTAGACGAGCAAACACTTTATTTTATGACTTTTCAGCTGCATCCATTTTCAGGGGTTTCAGTTTTAATGGGGTAGCATAACTTCAATAAATGTTGTCTGTCACCACTGCAATCACTTTCCTCTGGCTTTTGTGAACCCCTGTGAGACAGGTTATACAGACCTGGCATGGCACAAGATTAGATTGAGGGAGTTAGGTAAGAGAGAATTAGTTTCTGTGACAGAAGACATTGTAACCACAAAGAGCACGGGTGCTTCCACAATATATGAACAGTTTAAATGTTTTGCTTTCTCTTTTGTTGCCTAGTTTCTTGCTGCCATTGGATTATATCAGCATCAACCTGGCAACCATGAACTCTTGTATAAACCCAATAGCCTTGTATTTTGTGAGCAAGAAGTTTAAAAACTGTTTCCAGGTAAGATCTTCTTGGTGAGATTTTTATGTCCGGTTAATGAACTGTAATAAACCACTTAGTTATTATGTATTTTTAGCAGCTGGGAGAAGAGGCATGCAAAGGAATGAAAGATTACAAATTGTCGAGTTTGCCAGTTAGCAGCTCACATAGCATACGCACCAAACTGCAAGTGGAACTATCCACTTAATCTGAAAGGCTAAATCAGTAAATAAGTTTGACACAGTCCTCATATGTAGACATGTAAACCGAGACAGACACACTCTTGTATACTATTTATCTGCATGTGACACGTACATGAAATAGAATTTGGTTGATAACATATTTCCCACTCTAGATGAAGACAAAGAACACATGCGTAGGACACCAAGCTGCCTGAAGTTAAACAATCCCATTAACAACTGAAATTTTCAGGCTTGAATACCAAAGCAGGCAACTGAGTTGACTTTGGCAATTAAATATGCATTATGGCTTTTACCTGCATTTTTCCAGTTCCTACACATGAAAATGTATTTTAAGGCTAAAATAATTTCCCAGTGACACTGTGCCTCTGCAAGTCCCTGTTCACCTAACAGAGGCAATACAGGAAGAAGGAAAATGAGAGTATATAGTGGTAAAGAAAGTAACAAAATGGAAAAAGAAGACTGAAATAACTTTATCTGCAAAGAAAAACAAAAGGTGACAGGACTGTACCACTAAACTTTAAGTCTGTGAATAGGCAACTCGAGCTACTGAAAAAATGTAATAAATCATTAGAATAGGGAACACCTGTTTGTCTGTAGCCTGCTCAGACTTACAGACTATTTTAAGGGAGTATTTTCACACGATAAATAAGCAGTCAGCTTTGCTTTTTATGGTCCCCTACTTCATTTGGGAACTGTGGAGAGGATAACATGCCTGAACTTGTCCTCAGGTGAAAGAGAGAAGTAGCACTCAATACTACCAGACTGCTCCTCATATCATCAGTTCATTCTTCCCATTTGTCCTTCCAAGCAAAATTACCATCCAACAAATCTATTTAAACAATTTCAGCTATTATTTTATCCTTCTCAGCTTCTCCTTATAGCTTACCCTTTCCATTCTAATATCAAGGTCATTACTTCAGGGAATTTTTCCATTTTATATTTGAGTTTGTCACCTTACATCTGTGGCTATTTTACATAGCCACCCATAGATAGATAGTACATATATCTTAAGTCTGGCTTTACCTCTCTGCAATGCGCCCTTCTCATTGAGTTTATGGAAGTCATGATGTACTGCAGTGATTGCCATTGCTCCTGAGATCCTAAATTTTTCCCCCAAAGCAGAGATTCCACCTACAGAGAATTAGGCACAAGTTTTTGTGAAGGGAGGGGAGGATAGCTGAAGAATTCTTTCTGCTCCTTTCAGAAGAGACAACTGAACATACCAACCTGTGAAGAACCTGGGACTATGATCCTGAATCACTTATTCTTAACTGTGAAAAATTATATACCTCAATGTATTCACTGTCTCTTTTCCTAAACAATTTTGTCTTCTCCTAAGATGTGAGAAGAGACCTAAGTCCAGGGAATTTTCTTCTTTTCTTTTACATGCTAAGCAGTATGCTGATCCCTAAGTTTGAAGTGCAATGATAAAGAGGGGGAAAACAACCAAACCGTCTCCTACAATATGTATTGCGTTCTGTCAGTTCTCAATCTATCTACCTTAGTCAAACAAATTTCCCTTTTGATCCTGTGAAAATTTTTCTTAACAAAGAGGTGCAGGCCAGGCTTAATTTGCTGCATTTGTGATGTTTAATCACAAGAATTGTTTGCATCCTAGGATAAAAAATTTGCCTGAGTGCAGCTATCACTCCCTTCAGCTAGAACTGTCTGCTCATTTCTGAATGAAAAATATGGCTGACAATCTACATAGAGTTGATAGATTTATGTTAACTTTTTCTTTTTTTCAGTCATGTCTTTGCTGTTGCTGCTCCCAATCAAAGAGTCTAGTGACTTCAGTGCCCATGAATGGAACAAGCATTCAGTGGAAAAACCAAGAACTAAACAACCACAATACAGATCGAAGCAGCCATAAAGACAGCATAAACTGAAAATTAAGGACTCTGATACCACTTCAGAATCAAACAGGAAAAAAAGTCACCACAAAGCTATTTCGACAGGAAGCCCAGTGACTGTTCCATAATCAATTCAGACACGTGCACCCTTGTACCTAATTCCGAAGGTGACTGAGAAGATTGACTGACTATAACTGTGAGTTCTGTGAACTGAGATCCACTAAATGGTAATTCCGTCTCTGAAAATGATGTTGATGTGATTGCAGCACCTAAAAACTGACTTGAACTATACAGGTGGTTTGCTCTTCTGAACCAAGCAGGAACTGCCCAGTGTCTGTGACTGGTACAATACAATCTTTTCGCCTGGTTGTCACCTAGAATTAATCACTCTGGAATTTTTCAGAATATATCAAAATGGAATCTGTCTGTGACTATATTTTCTCTCTGCCCATTTGTCTTTTAACTTTTATTTGTGCGGTGGATATATTCCGTGCACCAGTATGTTTTGCATGTTGTTGTTTTTCAGGTTTATGTTGGAAAATATTTTGGTCCACGCCAGTATTTTATTTACTTATGTTAAAATGGGTCAGGACATTAGCTGGGCAGTTCACATTTGTCGCACTTCAGTACTCAAAAATAGGAGGAGACCATTTAAAGTAGCGTCAACATTTGGCACTTAAGCACAGATTAATACCAGAAAAAAGAAGTATTAATAATACAGTACTGTGCTGTGTTATTTATTGTAATGCTTTGTACAAAATAAACAAAAGAAACATAATCTCTATCAGCGAAATAATGAAAGATGCCCACAGAGGGGCACCTTACAACGTGTTTTCAATTAACCTGCCATGTTAATTCTTAAACTGTATGAACCTATGGATCTATTTAGACTATAGCTGCGTTAAATCTAAGTTGAAATGAGGGTCAGTGAAGCATTATTAAAGCTGCCCAAAGAGTTCTCAGAATATGGTTATTATCCTAGCAACTATGCACAACACTACTTACATACTGGGAACATGACGTTATAGTCATAATGAACGCAGAACTGTGGAAGTCTGTAGCAGCTGGACGTACACAAGGATATTTTGTGCCTTATGCTTACAGAATTCTTTGTCTTACTCTCACAACATTCAAAGATTTTAATGGGGTTTGATAGTTTATTAGAATTGTTAACCATACAAATGCTATGAATAATATATAGAAAATATTGCTTGCATACATGTAAACTGGTGATTTAATTATTATTTCCATCCATTATGGTTACATGGCAAGAGATTCCTTTTTTGGCTATAAAAATTTTTAATAGGTAGCCTTTCATTAAATAGTGGAATTATATAGTATGGTGTCATATATAATATGCCTCATGCACAAATCTGCTAGGAAATTTATAGCAACTGTTGTGTCAGGCTAAGAAGCAGTAATTAAAATTCCACAAATTTTTAAACATCCGTTACATTTCAAATGAAAGATATAATCCTGCATATTTTTATTTACAAGGTCAAAATGCTAGTGCCTACAGTGACTTCTGCTGCACAAGTTTCCCAAATGTTTACGTTCACACAAATCTTCTAAAGTATATTAAAAAAAAAGTTCTTTAAATTGGTTTATGTATTTTTGTGTGCTTTTGTCTCTGTGACATATATGTGTGTATAAATACATACAGATTTATGTTCATATGTTATAAACCTAAATACAGTCTTCTGACAGTGCTCTGTAGTAGTGCCTAAGAGCATGGAATTGAATGAGACTTGTCTGAATTTTATTCAAAATATTTCACTCTCAAATGATATAAAAAATCATAGTAAATGAGTAACAATGCTTTGCTTTGAGAAGGTTGAATTACTGAGTCTCTTTACATCCTGACACCTTCACCGCTTCTTTATTTCTTCTTCTGCTCTTTAGCTGATGGTTAGATGAACCAAAAAATTCACACTATACCAGCAAAGCAATAATTTCCTTGTTCAGAGACAATCTTTTCTACCTGTGTACATAAGACAGTAAGCAGTAGAGACAATGCCCGACAGAAACTTTAGGACTCTCAACTTCTACAGAAAAAAGCATCTATGCAAAAGTTTCAGACCCTGACAAGGACAATTTTTAGGCTTTACCAGCAGAAGTCATGCAAATCTAACAGTTTTCCTTCCAGCACAAACACTTCAAAGATCTATTGCTTTCAAACCAATAGTTGGCTCTATTATGTGGCAAAGATATATGCACATCCACACACAAAGCATACTTTAAGCCAGTTCAGCCTAGATGGAAAAAAAACATGTTCCTACTGCCCAAAGAGCTGTCTGAACTTAGTGGCAGCATTATAAAATACATAACTTTTTAACTAAAGAAAAAGAGACGGTAAAGTATCTAACAGATGTGAGACGATGTTTCAGAATGCTTTAGAATGATGTTTGGAAGCTTACTTAGGTATCAAAGCCTGCAAAAACTAATTGGTGATCCTCATTCCATCTCCTCCAGCCAGTGGAAGGACAGATAGAGCCTATATACCAGTGAGGAGTGGTGTCTCAGACTCTGTTTGCCATGCATGCTCTTTGGTATTTTCACTGGTGGCTGCTGCTCCCACTCAAAAGCCAATTATGTGTTAAGACAAAAGGTGTTAAAATGTGGCAATTATGGTGAGGGGGGGAACTGTTTCTGTAAAACTTACTAAGGTACTTACTTTTTTAATTCTCTCCTATTCTTCCCACTAATAATGGTACATATTCCTCCTAGTATTGTACCTACCCTCAATTCTGAAAAAGTTACCTTTCCAAAAGAACCAACAAAAGTCTTCCACAATTTTAACCTTCCACAATTTTAACCTTTTCTTTTTCTGCCAAGTTCTGCAAAAGGGTGTTCTGGCAGTTCTCTTTGTGCATCGAAACCAGTGTAGGTTTAGTCGAGATTTTGCTCTGCTGTTGCACAGCAGCTGCTTTCTCTTTTACATCAAAACAACTTTCCACAAGAAGTAACCTTCCATCCTCCTCTTATTTTATAGATGGTTTTGTCTGCCGTTTGCATTCCCCTCAGCTGAACCAAGCCTAGCATTTTTCTGCAGTTGACAGAATCTCTATTCCACAAGTTTCAGATTAATTTTGTACCTTTTTTGGTAACATTTGTTCATCATAATCAAAATCAATTTAACTATCACAATCATCTTTTTTGTGGACTTCACAATTTCCAATTTTTTTTCAGTCCAGTAAGTGTAAAATTTCATTGACTGTTCTCACTTATACAGTCTCACGTCTCAACTTCAAACACTCTGCAGACTTTAATTTTAGAATCCAGTTATTCTCCTTGTTTTCAATATGCATTTATTACAAACTGACCTAGCCTGTTCCTGTGCTTTGGAAAAAAAGTGCCTATGTAGTCTTTCATCATGAATCTCACCTGATAGAATCATAGAATCACAGAATGGTTTGGGATGGAAGGGACCTCAAAGATCATCTAGTTCCAACCTCCCTGCCATGGGCAGGGAAACCCTGCACTACACAAGGTTGCCCAAAGCCTCATCCAACCTGGCCTTGAACATTTCCAGGGACAGGGCATCCACAACTTCTCTGGGCAACCTGTTCCAGTGCCTCAGAGGGAAGAATTTCTTCCTTATATCTAATCTAAATCTGCCCTCTTTCAGTTTAAATCCATTGCCCCTGTCCTATCACTACTTGCCCTTGTAAAAGTTCCCTCTCCAGCTTTCCTGTAGGCCCCCTTTAAGTACTGGAAGGCTGCTATAAGATCACCTCGGAGCCTTCTCTCCTCCAGGCCGAACAGCCCCAACTCTCTCAGCCTGTTAGCTTGATTCCTTGAAAGGAGGCTTATGCAACCCTCAAGTCTGAATATATTTATTTTTGCTTTTAATACAGTCAGTTTTAGGTGTTCACCTGCCTGTATCTCCATCTTTCAAAAACAACTACGAACCCCCAACCCAATTTCAATAAATTTTACAGAACAGAGTTAGCATCATTATGAAGCTACAGAGATTTTCACAAAAACTGCACAATGGGTAGAAGAACAAGATCCTACTCATGCTTTATGCAGAAGATTGCTGAAACTGAGTTTATATGTACTCAACAAATTCACATCATAGAGAGATGTTATGAACATCGCAGATGCAGAAAAAGCTTTGATCAGAGCTTGCAAGTTCTGAGACATCTGAGAATCAAACCACAACACACACCTTGTTGGAGACCAGTATTCATAAGTTCCATTGCTTGTGGAATTACTTGCTTTTTTTGCTGTTTCTCTCATCATTTACATATTTACCACAATCTTGTTACGATCTCATTTTATTCTGTGAAGCCTTATGAGTTTCAGTTTTTGAGAAGACAAATTCAAATTCTGCTGCATTTGTATGAAGAGATTTCTGCTCAAATGTCCCTGAGGCAGTGTGCATTTTCATTAGAAGAAACACACTTGGACTGCATGCTAACATTGCCTTGCAAAATTTTTTCCAGACAATCAGTGGTGTTGTTGGCTCAGCAAAGTATTCCTAATTTACACTCCCCACCCTTTCAAAGACTGAATAAAGGCAATTATCTCCAAAATAAGAGTAAGGGAAGACACACAAAAAGTTTACAGAACAGAAACAATTTCCAAGTTGCACAGGAAAAAAAAAACAACCCAGCACAAAAAAACGAGGCATGTTTAAAATGTGGCTCTAAAAGAAACACAGCTTATCATTAGTTCAAGTGTGGGAAAGGAAGATAATAACTAAATAAAAAATATAGGTCATCTCTAGTTTCTTTAAAGGAGATTAAATTAATTGACCTGTAGTATCTCATCTAGAATCAGCTTTTTCCCTGTAATGATATCACTGCTTCTCAAATGAAGTATTGCTTGAGTCACAGTTTTGCAGTCTCATTAGTTACAGTAGCTTATTATTACAAGAAAGTTCAACATAGTAAGTGTTACAACTGATAAGAAAAAAGAATCTATTCCATTCTTCAGCAGCACTCTGCCTACATTTCTCAAAGGAACTGAGTGGCTGCAAACTGCTCAGAAATCCATCATTTGGAAATATTTGGGACATCTTAGAATAAGGCCTGCACTTTAATCTCATGCTGTCTTACTCCTTGGGAGAAAATAAACTGAGCTTACAAGGTACAGAAAAGCATCCAAAACGATTCGTGAGAAGCACTTCTAAGCCATCCAAGAGAAC